TTTTTGATTTTCTGTAGTAAAAATAAATGGCTTTTATCATCTTACTATTACTTCCTTTTTGTTAGAAAAATCAGGTTAATAAATACATTTGTTGTACAATTCAGAAGACCAACTGCTACTAATTATTTTCAAAATATAATGAGAAAAAAAAAATTTTAGTTCGGAACAACATTGTTTCGGAGTCGACAAAACAACTAATTCACCAAATTTTTACAATAAAAGCTTGATTTTTCAAGAGAAATCATGCATAACTTTATTTAAAAACTATCAAATATAAAATATTTTGTTTTTGACTGTAAAGAACTTATTTAGTTAAACATAAGTTTTTTCTGCGAAATGCAGTGCTCTCATCACATGTTAGGAATTATTCATTATTTTTCCTGAGTAGTAAAGGACAGTTAAATGCATTGGCAATCGTTACCTTTTACAATAATTGTTTGAGATTTTGTAACTGGCCAGAAGCCATTGTCTGCAACACATGAATAATTTCCACGATCGCGTTCTAAAAGATATCTTATGATTAATTTCTGATTTCTCTCTTCAAAATTGATTTGTTTTGATGACTTCAATGGTGTTCCATCTTTGAACCAAGTTATATTAGGTGTTGGCGTGCCTTTAAAGTAACATGATAAATGGACAGGATTTTCAGGATCTTTCGCCAATCGTGTTATTGCAACGTTATCAATATTTCCACGAACAAAGTAAGCCGGAACTATAAATAAAAATCGTTAGACTAAACGACTAAATGCTTATGTAACGAAAGTTTATAAATGTAACTTGTAGCGTGATAATTCTAGAAACCAAAATTTTTTTTACTTGTACCATTTATTTGAAGAAAATATAATTTTCTGCCATTTCCTTATACCACAAATTTTTTGCTACACAATAGTAATTCCTTTCATCTGAATGACTGACATTATTAATAGACATAATGGCACGATGAGTTAGGTTAGTTTCTTCAAACATGACGTGTATTCTTTCTAAAACATTTAAAGATCAAGATTATTTAAGTTTAGATTGACTCTGACGCCTTTGAAGTTTGATTAATTGCTTGTTTAACATAAATATAGAACTGACCAGAATCTTCAAGTTTCTTGTTTTTATCATCACGCCAGTAGACTTTGGAATACATGTAATTGATAGCAGCACATACTAGAGAAACATTTTGACCTTCGCGAAACTTCGTTTGCGTCTGTATAATTCCATAAGCCTTATTGGGATCTCCGTCTTTCAATAAAGATATGGGTGTTAAAAAATGTATTAAATCTAAATTTTTATGGAACTAGCTGGATTAAAATTTTATACCTGTAACATGAATATAATGTGTATTGCTGTTGCATCCATAACTATTACAAGCCGTGCATTTGATTGTTGACTTCGTTTGAGGTCTTATGGTAACTATGGACTCATTTCCATTACTTTTACTTTGTGCATTTGTGTTCTCATCGCTTACATACCATAGCACAATTAAAATAATTGTTATTTGTCATACTTTAAAGTGTTATTTAAAATCATCAATGTAAGTTAACAAAGTTTTGCTCTTTACAACGAACAAACCTGTAGTTTAGAGGTTTCATCAATATGTTCGAGCTTCCTCGGGTTACTCATATAGCTCCATGATATATTGAACTTGCGATTACTTTTAACAAGGCAAACGAACATTGCAGTCTGGTTAAAGCTATAGTATTTTTTAAAATAACTTACAGGATCAAACCTTACAGTTGGCTCATCTACAAACAATAAAATAATGTCATTAAAAAAAAGTTAAATGATAGCGAAATGTATTCGAACAGATACAATGTGATATTGCGTGATAAAAATACATCAAAAATAAGTCAAAGCAAGCAAAGCCCCAGTTTTTCAAATTGTGGATTAAGTAGAAACAGATGTACAAAATATCAATTTCAAACAAAAGTCAACAGTAGAACTGAAACAGTTAGTAACATCTAATGTAATGACATGCAAGGCTTGCAATAGCTATTGATGTACCTCTACATCAAAGAAAATTCGCATGACAGGTAAATAGATCTAAATAATATCAAGTGTTCAACTTGGATTTTTATCCATCTTTTACTTTCTTTTGTGAGTTACTATTGTATGGATATTTTTTTTTCTTTAGATGGGGTAGCTAATGCATCTTTTGGAATCATTCAACCAAATAGAAGTTTTCAGGAAGGTGAAAATATTTCTCTAACATGTGCTGCTATAATCAATGATTTCTCCATCGTCATATGGTATGACGATGATGGTCAAGTGGTATTGGGCTCGGGTTAGTTCTAAATTTTTTTTTGAGTGTTATGAGTCAAGTTTTTTAGTATAGTTTGACCAATTATACATGTTTTTTAATATGTATAGAAAGAATACACGTTACATCGAAGATAACTGAATTTACTTACCAAGCCATTCTCACGATCAATAACACCAGTCAATGAGAAAGAACATAGTACTATTGCAAAGGAACCAACAAATACTACGGATTTTTTGGATATCCTTCGCGCAAAATACTTACAGAATTATATTTCCTTGACATCAATGGTAAGAATGAGAAACAGTTATGATGTACATTATCATTTATAAATCTCAACTATTTTTACTCTGTTGATGGTAATTTTGTTGTATGGATCTACTTTCTTTAACCCTTGTAAATTTGAACTTTACAGAGAGAACAGTGATGGCAAGGTATTTTGAGAATCCCCTGACACTATTATATGGAGACGAAGTGGGCAAAGTTTAAATTTTTACCTAATCTTACGTTCTCTCTGGAAATCTCCCATCTTTTGTCGTACGGTAGAAGATCTGCTTGATCATCTACTGTAAGCTCGGGGTTCATAAGATCAACTGCTCCTTCTTCGAAATGCGTAAAACCCGCTTTTAACAGTTGATTTTCTTTGAACTTAAAATTTCCATTGATTGGATGATCAAAATTTTAGTAAGATACAGGTTTGATTCTTGTAGTGTTAATGTTTTAAAAATAATTATACTTTTTTAATTACCTTTCTATATTGTGCCTTCAAATAAAAATAAATTGAAAGAGATACAAGAATTGTAAACGACCACACTATCAGTACAATCCAAAAGTAAAGTTTTTGATTTTCTGTAGTAAAAATAAATGGCTTTTATCATCTTACTATTACTTCCTTTTTGTTAGAAAAATCAGGTTAATAAATACATTTGTTGTACAATTCAGAA